TATTCTATTTTTACTCTTTCAATTTCACTGACCAGCGCTGCAAACGATATCAACTAGTAGGCTAACAACCAGAATTGAAATTTAATTCGCAAGTACTTACCGTCAGCGTTGCCATTTTAGCCGTTTTCCGGCTAGATTTAGCCGGTCTCGATAGCAAACAGCCGGAAAAAAATTCGATTTAGCCGGCAGCCGATTTGTTAGCCGTTTTGCAAAAAAAAATTAGCCGTTTTCAGCCGATTTTGCTCTTCGCCTTATTTTATTAAAATTCAAATATACAAGTTTTTATTTTTACAAATTTAGTGCTCCAAAATCTATTAGAAATGGCTAGTCTTACCTCTGAGAAAATTTTCATGTCGGACTGTGTTATATAAAATTGAAAAACAATCAGAAAGTGAACCGATTTCAATGTTTTTTGTTTTAAGCGAGTGACCCAAATACACATAAACTGGGACGCGTCATTTTAGCAGATTAAAAAGTTACAAGTTTTGCTGAAATTTTGCAGAATTTTCATAATTTTTACACTAAGTGTGAAATCTGTTTGTAGTATATGTTGTTTGTTAAGGAATGAGCTACATATTCATAAAAAATAATACATATTAAATAAACTAAAGAAAAATAAGCAAAACTTGCTTCAAGTTTGCGTCCCAGTTTATATTTGGGAGAACGCAGCGGGAATTTTCTTCATAAAATTTTTGTTATGAATGTCTTAAATTTAAGTGTGAAGTTTTATTCGCTACACTTAGAAAATAAAAGAGCACGAATTTCGATGTGGAGCAAAACTCTTTGGGAAGACAATACATGGTGCAAACATACTTTTAAAATTTTATAAAATAAAACTGCAGTAGTTTTCATTTTATGTGGATAATTATTGTGACAAATACATAGTTTCGTGCTTATATTTTTGTATATATATTTTTAGCAGCACCACATCTTTATCAGAAAATTCCGAGAATCCAAAAATTGGTACTGTTACAAGTTGCAGGCATCATTTTAACTCGACCTCTTTCCTGTTCCACGGATAATGGTACATCTTTCAGAGGTTTAAAGATATTTTGCGTCAGCAATTTGTTATCAACCTACGTACCCTACCTCGGTAAAGCAAAAAACTTTATATTCGAACGTTAGCTCAGGTGTACCGAATTCGGGCAGTTTGGAAACGCGCAACACTTTTAATATTTTCATCCAACTTCACTAACTTCAAATTTTTTTTCTACTTATGTAAGAAACAAAAATTTTTCTGCTAGTGAATCTGGTGGCATGATTTTAGTTAAATGTCATAAACTTGTTAAAAGTGAAGTGGTCGGCAACAACAACGAATGTCAATAAATTAAACTACCTTCTGCTTTCACAGCTTTACCTGTTCATTTCTCAAAATATTGCCCTCCGACTAAGCAAAAGTGCCATACTTTCAGCTAATATAGCCATTTTGCGGGACAAAAAGCAACCTACTGAAAATGATCCAATATTTATAAGAAGGCAAAATTGTTGAATAGAAAAGAAAACGCCATAAGTTTGTAATTTATCTCTGTTTTTATATTTAAGTAATACAAACATGACTTCTGATGTAAAGCTTAACTACGTATAACGACAGTTTCCTTTGTTAAACAAAAATAAAGTGGTGTACAGCTTAGCTACGTATAAATAATCTTTATTAACCAAAAAAAATTCAATGGATTTACTAGTCTTTCTAATTGTAGTTTATGTACATATTTAAAAAAAATTTAATTCTGGTTGAAACATTTTAGGCGTTTTTAGCCGTTTTTTTTGTTCAATCTAGCCGGTCGCCCTGAAAAGTTCTGGCAACACTGCTTACCGTACTACAAGTATACAGAGAGTAGATTTGCTACTCCCTTTTGGCAGCAGCAAATATCTCTCGTACGCGATGAGAGAAAGTAGAGTACGTACTTTGGTGGAGTAATAGCAAGTACGTCAAGTATTTACTCTCTCAACGCCAAGTAGTGTATGTATGCGGAAAAAGAGTAACAATGTGTTGGGAGTAGAGTACAATGCAAGGAGTACTTATTGAACGAAATGCGGCAAATACACTTGCGCTGGACTCTAATAGATACGTATGTGCATAGATACGTATGTGCATAGATACGTATGTG